GGCAGCTGATTGATGTTTCTCTCTCATCGATGTTTCTGACTCTCTATCTCTCTCTCCCTTCCTCTCTGTAAAAAATCAATAAAGTATATATTTTTAAAAAAAGAAAGAAATAAGAAATATATAATCTGATTATCACTGTTTTAACAAGAGCTGCTATTTCCATATTTGTATTCCCCTGATAACAAACCCCCAAATCAATTTATAGTCCATACATTTCTAAAGTAAAAAATTTGGGGCTCAAAGAAAAAAATCATAAGGGATATCAAAAAATGTCTGTAAAAAAATGAAAATGAAAACACAACATACCAAAAATTTCTGGGATACTGTGAAAGCAATACTAATAGAAAAATTAATAGCAGTAAGCCCTTACATTAAAAAGATCTCAAAATCAACAACCTAACTCCACCTCAAGGAACAAAGAAGGAAGAGTAAGGAAAAAACCTTACTATACCTCCAAGAAAAAAAGAATAAACTAAACCGAAACTTAGCAAAAGGAAAGAAATCATAAAGATTAGAACAGAAGTAAATAAAATAGAGAACAGAAAAACAATATAAAAAACTAAGAGTTGGTTTTTCAAAAAGATCAACAAACTTGAGAAAACTTTAGCTAGATTAAGAAAAATGCAAATAAATAAAACCAGAAATGAAAGAGGAACATTACAACTGATGTCACAGAGATAAAAAGGACTATAAAACAATACTATGAGCAATTTTATGCCAACAAAAGAAATGGATAAATTCCCAGAAACACACAACTTACCAAGACTGAATCATGAAGAAATTTTAAAAAAATTTAAATAGACCGACAACTAGTAAGGGGATTAAAACAGTTATCAAGCACCTTCCAAGTGGCTGGAGTAGGGGGGTAAAAAGAAAAGCCCACTCAACTAAAAGAAGACAAACAATCCAATTGAAAAATGGACAGAAGACCTGCATAGACATTTCTCCAAAGAGGACACACAAATGGCCAAGAGACACATGGAAAAATGCTCAAAGTCATTCATCATCAGAGAAATGCAAATTAAAACCATAATGAGATATCACCTGTCAGAATGACTGATCAAAAAAATAAACAACAAAAAATCAATAAATCTGTGCACCAGGCCTCTAGTATGCATATAAGATCTTTGGTTAATCTCTTCCCACCCTCCCCCCTTCCCTCTGAGATTCATCAGTCAGTTCCATGTTTCCATGCCTGTGTGCTGAGGGTCTGCCCCCCAGTGGTCAGTGTACATCATAGCTACCAAACAGTTGCTTAGGCTTTTATATAAAGAGATCTTAGAGATTACACACACAGAAGAAAACCCTGTTAAAACAAAGTTGCAGGATACAAAATCAACACACAAAAATCAGTCGTATTTCTTCTATACACTAACAATGACCAATCTCTATCAAAAGCCCAATTTGCAGGAAGAAAAACCCAAAATTCTAATATTAATATGGAATCTCAAGGGATCATGAATAGCCAAGACAATCTAAAAAGAAGAACAAAGTCGGTGGCCTCAAACTTACTGATTTCAAAACATACTAAGAAGCAACAGTAATCAAGACAGTGTGATACTGGCAGAAGTACAGGCCAATGGAAAAGAACAGGAGGCTCAGAAATAAACCCTCAGGTATGTGGTCGAATGATCAAGAGTGCTAAGACCACACAATGAGGGAAGGACAGTCTCTTCAACAAATGGTGCTGGGAATACTGGATATCTACATGCAAAAGGATGAAGTTAGACAGTAAAAATGAACTCAAAATGGATTAATGATCTAAACATAACACCATAAACTATAAAACACCTAGAAGAAAACATCGGGGAAAAGCTTCAGGCATTGCATTTGGCAATGATTTCTTGGCTTTGACACCAAAATCACAGACAACACAAGCAAAAATAGACAAATAGGACTACATCAAACTTTAAAACCCCTTTCTTATTAAAGAAGCTTGGACTACAGAGAATCACATTTCCCACGGCTACTCAATGCTTTTAACTTTTAATAAGAATTAATACCTACACCAGAATCATCACCCTAGATAAACGTTTTAAAAATACTACATTTAGAAACTAATAAGCTAGAATAAAGTTTGAAAAAGAAAATTAAGAAATTTGTGAAAAAGAAAACAAGTGTTCTTAAATATAGCCTCTATAGGCCATAAAACTCATGAAGCAACAATCAACATATACTGCTCACCCTGTCCCCAACGTCATAAATACTGATATCAGGATGTCTGGGGAAAAGGCATGGAGTACAGTTCGGTGTAGAACACATACATTAAAAGTAGCAGATGCAAAAAGAGGGTAACAAAATAAATAAAGCGGGAGGATGGGGAAGCACTCGAAGTCCGGAAGAAATAGGCCCAAATAGAGCTTCCACCAGCCTCATCAACGGGTGAGTAGTCACAGTCTTCTTTAATACTATGACATGAATAATGCACGTTGGAATAAAGTCACTCACCTTAACCAAAAATAACCACCCAGCTTCTGACTAAAAGAGGCTGAACCTCTTTATAAATACAGGGAACCTGGAAGCAAGAGCCCTTCTGGATAGGAGAGGAACTAACCACCTGGGACGCTGACAAACTATAACACAAAAATCAGACCTATTACATCTCTTTGACAGTCAGGTGTCTAATGTATGTATTCCAACAAATAGCTCTTGGCAATCCAGGTTCTGCATTATTTGGCATCGGGAAACCTACCTGATGGTGGTGAGGAGAGGAATCTGAGAGGATATGCAGCTACTGTCAAAGATTCTGCAAAATAAAGAACAAGAATAAAGTAACAGCCTTCATTATTGCTTGCAAATTTTTCTCAAATAACATCAGTGTTGTTTAATAACCTTTTCATTGGTTCATGACATGAAGTGATTATTTTAAAATATATAGAATCAGTATCTAATAAACCTCAGCTAATATAGTTAACGAAACTTACAAGGAATATGGTAAAATTTAGAGCGTATTATGTATTGTAAAATAATTTAAGCACTATTACGCCAAACTTAAAATGTACATTCTAAAGTAATAATCTGGATTATAATACTACATTCAGATTCACAGTAATATATTAGTAGGTCATACTTAGGGGTGTGGTCTAAAAATGCACAAGTAATCGAAAAGCACATGCATGTATCAAGAGCAATTTCTCTATGAGACTCATCAGCTGAGGGCCTGATAAGTGTCACTTCCAGGTGCAGGCAAGACTAAGACCCAACCAAGGGGAGGCGTCCTTGTGGGGCAGCTGGAGGAGTCCAGAAGCCTCCACCAGGTACCCTGGCAGAAAGAAACAAACCTTATCGCCACCACCTTCCCCTCTTTTTGTACCTCGCTATTCCAGTGCAGTTTCTTGGCACTAGAGCTTATTGCCTGATTAGATTACTAGAAATCCACATCCCTAACAGCTAATGTAACAAGAGTAAACTCTGCAGCACAAATGTACAGGAATGGGATAAATGGCAGCTGCTGAGACAAAGGATGCTGTGCGGGTGGGACGGGAACACTGAACTGCCACAGCCTGGTGACTGAATCTCTTCATGTACCACCTGGTAAAGCTCACAGACTTTGCTAGAAATTAAGCAGGTACCTGCTACACACTGCAGACCAAGCTCTTCCCAACAGATGGGTCTAAACAGAAATTAGGTGCCTTTCTAGAGCCTGGTTCACAGTTTATACATTCAACAGATCCTTGGTGAATAGATAACGAATGAATTCCAAAATCGCTTAAGGTAAAACTCTCATAAACTGAGAAACGCTTGCAATGTTAAGCAAAATCAGGGACTTAAGAAGAAAACAAAATCATTTTCCTTTGTGGTTGCATTATTCTCCACATCTTTTTATTGGCATTATTTTTTATTTTGGGTTCAAGTGGTTTATATTACATTTCTTAGTCTATTTTTAGGAAGTCACTATAGAAAGGTACCAAAGCTAAAACCATAAAACTGTATCTACTAGCTCGTACAGAAGCCCAATTTGGGGATCTTTTCTGCCTGTCCATGGCCTCGGACTCCGCAACTTCCATTCAGCACTTCACTTGTAGAATAGAACCTACTGTCACCGAAGTCAGAGCTTCTCCCTGTGCTAACATTACTTCCCTTTCAAGGTATCACAAGCCTGCTTTCATTGCGATATCCAGGACTATTCAGTGCTGAAAGGGAAGCCCAGCATCTATTCCCCAGGGCAGCTACAGACCTTCCTTGTCAATCTCAAGGAAATTTCCAGGCACAAAACTAAAGAGAAAAAAAAAACCTAAAGAGCCATCAAATACAGGTCATTGATCTTCAGGTTTACAGCTATTATAGATATAGCTATAAACAATAACACTAGTGATTGAACAAGGAGCAGCAAACAAAGCTACTGATTTATTGACACAGTAGCTACAGACACTTTAGATTCCTTAACATATCTCTGTCTTCCCACTTTACCTCAGCTTACAGTCAGCACATGTGGTCACTACTCTGTGACCAGTCAGAGGTGAAAAATAAGCAGAAGCGATGCTCTTTGTGTGTTCAGACAAAGAAACCAAAGGCTGGCTTCCCTTGGGATTCAGGTGCCTTGCATCGTAAATATGAACATCTCTGTAACGGGAGGAATAAGTCTTGGTGTTACCACAGCACATGTAATAAGCCTCTAGGACAGTGCTAATCATAATTAGACAAACACTCACCACATTCGAGAACAGTTAAGACAGAACCCTCTAATCTTCTGCATCAATTTTACAAACACTAGTAAAGATTTAAAATATTACAAAAATTCCAATAGCATAACAATGTAAGCAGTGGGTATTGAGATAAGAGTCTAGTTCAGCGATTCTCAACCTGTGGGTCGCGACCCCTTTGGGGTGGAACAAACCTTTCACAGGGGTCGCCTAAGACCATCGGAAAACACATATATAATTACATGTTGTTTTTGTGATGAATCACTATGCTTTAATTATCTTCAATTTGTAACAATGAAAATACATCCTGCATATCAGATATTGACATTACGATTCATAACAGTAGCAAAATTACAGTTATGAAGTAGCAACGAAAATAATTTTATGGTCGGGGGTCACCACAACATGAGGAACTGTATTAAAGGGTCGCGGCATTAGGAAGGTTGAGAACCACTGGTCTAGTTGGTTTTCCAATATCTCCAAGAAAAAAAATTAACACAGACTAACAAGTTATAAGGTCACATAACTTTTTTTTTTTTTACAAGTTTTCTTCTCAAAAGACTAAAAGTAAATGCATTTGATGCTAGGGAAAACAAAAATGTGTGCTTGTTTCAATACTTTAACTATTAATTAAATCCAAAAGATTTTTTTTTAGTCACACTCAAAAATACTGTGTAGAAAAAAAATTTATTCAGCTGTATCACAAAAGTCAGATATCTTTAACAACCAAACTGAAATATTATCCCTCACATTAAAAGACCTATCGCGCCAAAACCGGTTTGGCTCAGTGGATAGAGCGTCGGCCTGTGGACTGAAAGGTCCCAGGTTCGATTCCGGTCAAGGGCATGTACCTTGGTTGCAGGCGCCTCCCCAGCCCAGGCACTGGTCAAGGCTCATGCAGGAGGCAACCAATTGATGTGTTTCTCTCACATCGATGTTTCTCTCCGTCTTTCCCTCTCTCTTCCACTCTCCCTAAAAATCAATAGAAAAATATATCCTCGGGTGAGAATTAACAATCACAAAAAAACAAAAAGATCTATATCATAGTCCTGGCCAGGGTGACTCAGTTGGTTGAGCACCGTCCTGTGCACTGAAAGGTTGCCAGTTTGATTCCCAGTCAGGGCACATAGCTAGGTTGCAGGTTCGATCCCTGTCGGGGTGCGTGCAGGAAGCAATGGATCAATATTTCACTCTCACATCAGTGTTTCCCTTTCTCTTTCTCTTCCTCTCTTTCTAAAATCAGTAAAAGCATGTCTTTAAAAATTTAAAAGAAAGACCTAGTAAAGCACTACACTCAGCCTATGCATTGTATAATTCAAAATGTATTAAACTGAACCCTTTAAATGTAACCTGCTAAACCTGTCTCATATTACCTCAGCATTCTTGCTGGTCGGTAGATATATGTTTATTAATTAGAAATAATTATGATTCTAAACTTAATTCTTCTGAAAATTTTGAATGTTTTTTGGGTAACCATGGGTTTTAGTTGCTACTGGCCATTTGAACTGAAGCAAAATTAGTGCAGTAAGCTCTAGTCAGTGTCAGGTTGTGCTAGGATCTCCATACTGACATACAGACCCCGCTGTAAAGTCAGCAACTTTGACAACTTCATTAACCCTTTTGATAGAAAAATCCTTTAGTTTTTAGGATGTTGTCAAGATTTATAGATGAAATGAGTGCTTCTCTCCCTGAATAAGCCAAAAGAGGGCTTCAAGTCTTTTAATAACCCATCAATCCCTGGATGACCAACGTTTGTAGGCAAATTAGCTATAATTTCACGCTTAAGTTGCTAGAGGGCCAGACCATTATAAATAGGGAAGCAGGTTGTTTACCACAACAGTAGAAGTGATTTTTTTTCTGAAGATATGGGTAAACAACGCGATTTAACAGCCTTTGAGTGTGGGATATATTTGAACGTGAGTGGCCAGATTGTTATGACCACCGGACGTTTGTAGGCAGATTAGCCAAACACTGCATCTTATGGGATATGGAAGCCAAAGGCCTGTTCGAACACCTTTGCTGTCTGCAGTTACCAAGATAAAACATCTCCAATTCGCACAGGAACACAAGGGTTGGACAGTCGAGCATTGGGAAAAAGTCATGTGGTCCGATGAATCACGTTTCCAGTGGCATCATGCAGATGGCAGAGTGAGAATTTGGCGGAAAGAGCATGAAAGCATGCACCCCACATGCATGAGAACAACCCTTCAATCGCGACTGAGCTGGAGGCACCCTGTAGCCCTCTCGTGTTCCCTCCCTGGCTAACCAACCTCCCACGTCCCTCCCCAGCCTCAATCGTGCACTGGTGGGGTCCCTCGGCCTGGCCTGCGCCCTCTTGCATTTAACCCAATGGCGGAATGATCAGTCACTATGATGCGCACTGACCACCAGGGGACAGACGCTCAACACAGTAATCTCGCAGTCCTAGGGCTCCCGGACTGCAAGAGGGCGCAGGCCGGGCTGAGTGACCCCCACCCCCCGGAGTGCATGAATTTCATGCACTGGGCCACTAGTAAGAAATAAAAAATAAATGTAGAATGTGTGAGTGCTCAAGTAAGAGAGGATGACCACAGTTCTTATCGTTGAATCCTGAACTGTTGCTGATTTTAGGTTTTAATAAGTATTATTATAAACTGAGATTAACAAATTAATATACCAGAGGCATCCCAACCACCATACACCCAAAAAAGCCCAGTATACACAAATGAAACTTGAAGTATTCAGTCAATATATTAAAATGGTTAAGTGTAGCCCTAACCAGTTTGGCTCAGTGGATAGAGCATCAGCCTGTGGACTGAAGGGTCCCAGGTTTGATTCCGGTCAAGCGCACATCCCCAGTAGCGGATGTGCAAGAGGCAGCTGATTGATGTTTCTCTCTCATCGATGTTTCTGACTCTCTATCCCTCTCCCTTCCTCTCTGTAAAAAAATCAATAAAATATATTTTAAAAATAAATAAAATAAAATGGTAAAGTGTAGAGTGAGGCTTTGGAGTCAGACAGACCCAAGTGCAAATTCTAGTTCTGCCAGTTATGTCCTTGAGCAAGCTAATAAGCCTCTTTACCTGTTTTTTCAACTGTTAAATGGGGGATAACATTACCTGCTATTTCACGAGGTATTATAAGGCTTAATAATATATAAAAAGCACACTCAAGTTAATGCCTAACACAAGGTGATTGTTTAAACAGTAGTATGAGGAACACAGTACTAACATGCAACATTATGGATGAATCTTAAAAGCATTGTGCTACCAGGGCGGTGAGGGCATGAGTGGGGGGTGGGAGGGCCATGGGGGATAAGGACATGTATGTAATACCTTAATCAATTAAAAAAAAAAGGCATTGTGCTGGTGAAAGAAACCAAAGACAAACAGCTATATACTGAATGATTCCATTATGGGGCAAAATTATGGGGACAGTGATCACATCAGTGGTTGCCAGGGACTTCAGGAAGGAAGAGGGGACTGACTACAAAGGGTCACGAGGTAATTTTTTTGAGTGATGGAAATTTTCTGTATCTTGATTGTGGAGGTGGTTACACAGGTGTATACAATTTGCCAAAACTTACATAACTGTACTCCTAAATTTTATTATATGTAACTTATACCTCAGTAAACCTGACCAAAAAAAATAAGTGGAAGAACTGTTATATAAAACTCAATACATATTAAAAAGATAGATAAATGATCCAAATAGACATTTCTCTAAGGAAATGCAAATGGCCAGATAAACAGATAAAAAGATGCTTAGCATCATTAATCATCAGGGAAACAAAAATCAAAACTACAATGAGATACCACCTCATACCCACTGGGAAGGCTATACTCACCAACAATTACAAGTGTTGGCAAGGATGTAGAGACATTGGAACCCTTCACAGGTTGCTGATAAATATGTAAAACAAGAGGCCCGGTGCACAAAAATTTGTGCACTCAGGGGGGTCCCTCAGCCCAGCCTGTGCCCTCTCGCAGTCTAGGACCCCTCAGGGGATGTCCACCTGCTGGTTTAGGCCCACTCCCTGGGGGATTGGGCTTAAGCTGGCAGTCAGACATCCCTCTGGCAGCCTGGGAGCCCTCACGGGATGTCCACTTGCCAGCAGGGAGCAGGCCTAAGCTGCAGTCGGACATCCTTAGCGCTGCTGAGGAGGCGGGAGAAGCTCCTGCCACCACCGCTGTGCTGGCAGCCATCAGTCTGGCTTGTGACTGAACAGAGCTCTCCCTGTGGGAGCACACTGACCACCAGGGGGCAGCTCCTGCATTGAGCGTCTGCCCCCTGGTGGTCAGTGTGTGTCATAGTGCCAGTCATTCCCAGTCTTTCTGCTGTTAGGGTCAATTTGCATATTACCCTTTTATTATATAGGATGGTAAAGTCAATTTGGAAAAAAGTTTGGCAGTTCCTCAAAATTTGAACCTAGAGTTACCATATGACCCAGCATTCTAGTCCTGGGTATATACTCAAAAGAAAGGCAAGCCTATGCCCACACAAAACTTATACATTAATGTCCATAGTGGCATTAGTCACAACAGTAAAAAATGAAAACAGCCCACCTGTTTGTCAACTAACGACTGGATGAGTAAAATCAGGCATAGCCATACCATGGAAGCTTATTCAGCCATAAAAAGGAACTAAGTACCAACACATTCTACAACACAGATGAACCTTGAAAACATTTTGCTGAGTAAAAGAAGCCAGTCACAAAAAAAGTACAAACTGTATGACTCCATTTATATGAAATGTCCCAAACAGGTAAATCTATGGAGACATAAAGTAGATTAGTGGCTGTCTAGGTCTGGGGGAGGGGGAAACTGGGAATACCTACTAATGATCAAGGGGTGATGAAAATATTCTAAAATTAGATTGTGGTATGGTTTCACAACTCTGTTCTAAGTACTCTATGTACACTAACCCATCTGCACTTAATCCTCCTAACAACTCTATAAGGTACTGTCCTATTTTACAACTAAGGAAACTGAGGCACAAACAGGTTAAGTAACTTGCCAAGGTCACACAGGTTGTAATAGATGGTCTGGGACTTGAGCAGTATAGATCTAAAGTCGCTACTACCTTATCCACTCTAACTGGTGCACTAATGATTCATGTGTCATTTCATAAAGAATCCAGAACATCGCCTGAGACAATATGTAAACACATTAACATTTACCTCTTCGAAAACAGCCTTGGAGAAATCCCCACAGCGTAATGTGCCATCATAGCTCAGTGACAGTATGTGAGCTGGATTGGCAGGTGAGAAGTAAAGACAGCTCACGGGCTGACTATGGGGTTGAAAAACATAAACTCCATCTTCTTTTGGTTGGTGAGTCTGGAAGAAGGTTGGGGAAAGGAAGAAGAACAAAAACTAATGAAAAGTAGTAATATTTCCTGTCATTATGTCATTATACTATTTGTATCTGTATTATATTCAATCTTTTCTTAGTCCATCATTACACTCACCACCTCCCATTCAGAAAGTCAGAACTAGAAACTTTATACTGTCACTAAGCTCCTTTTTTCTCTAATTTTCAATTCAACAATAAGTCACATTTATTTTTAAGTTTCTAGCTTTTTGCAACTAGGTAGTTTTTTCATTATACAGAGAGAGAAAATTACTGCTCATTATGATTTCAGTTCATAAAATCCTCAGGAAATGAGAAATCCACTCAGTATTATTCCTTACTACCACAAACAGTACCAATGCCGCTACCACTTTGCTTCGTTAAGGATGCTGCTATATAATATGAGTACCTATAGCATTCTCAGAATACTTTTTGCGAGGTATTTAGTCCTGGAACAAAATAAGAGTTTTAGAAATATTTTACTCCCTAAGTACACAATGAAAACGCATGAATCTTAATTTCCACATTAATATTATCATGTACAAAAATAGCCAAGATTTGGAAGCAGCCAAAGTGTCCCTCAGTAGATGAATGAATAAAAAAGCTGTGGTACAGCCTGGACTATGTGGCTCAGTGGTTGAGCATCGCCCTATGAACCAGGAGGTCACAGTTCTAGTCCCCGTCAGGGCACATGCCCGGGTTGTGGGCATGGGGGAGGCAGAAGAAGGTATTGGCGCGGATAAACGGTGAAGGAAGAAGACTTGACTTGGTGTGGTGAACACACAATACAATATACAGATGATGTATTACAGAACTGTACACCTAAAACCTATAAAATTTTATTAACCAAGGTCACTCCAATAAATTCAACAAAAGGGGGAATTACCTTTTCCACAACTAGATTATCAACTCGTAAATCATCACTTTCTGATATGACTAAGTTATATTCTATGCCATGCATCATGTTATGAACCAAAGCAGCTATCATCTCCAAATCTGGTTGAGTCTGCTCTAAAACACTCCTCCATTTTTGTTTTCTTTTTTATTTAAAATTTTAAAATAAACAGAATTTTTTTAAAAAAAAGAAGAAAAATTACAATCACACACACCTCTACTAGTCACTTTTCTCACTCCCTCTTTTTTTCCCCATTTTCCTCCAGCAGCCATTCCTTATTCCTCACTCAAAAGAGGAAAAATCTAAATATCCCCTCAATGTGCTTCTCTCTAGTTTCGAGAATATAGGTGAAAATCTCAGATTTGGTCAATTCACCAGAATGGATTTTCAGGATAGGGCAGGATAGAAGCTAAACCACACTGTGCCCCCTATCATCTTGGCTACAGAATTTGTTTCTGTCCTGGTAAGCAGTTTTTAAGTTATATTTCTTCCTTATTGTTTTAAGTAGTTTTTTTTTTTATTTGACTATCTTTTGTTCATTTTATGAGAAAATTCCAATCCCCCACTTTAAACTAAATACACCAGGTTAAGAGTGAGCCTAACTGTTTTAAACCTAAATGAGTCCAGAACCAGTTAGCTTTGAGCCTGTGACTGTCTGTGCACACTGGATTGGTACAAGAAAGCTGGATGTACAAGCACCGGTTAAGACGAAGATGGTAATCCCAAAAGAGGAGATGGGGCCCTGGCCCAACATGGTGGCAGTAAGAATGGAAATAAAGGGGCAAAAACATTAAAGGACTTTACATAAGGAATAAAGGGAACACCCAGCCTAAAACTCTTCAATGGTTTCCAGTTGCCTTTAGGATAAAAACAAAATTCTTAACAAAAATTATAAAGATATACATCAGCCCTCTGCCCACCTCTACAGCTTCCTCCTAGTCCATTCATCGCCTTTGTACACCCTTTGCTGTCTATGCTCCGGCCACACAGGCATTCTCACAGTCCCTGGAATGCATCAAGTAAGCACCTCCTGCTTAAGGTCCCTGACATGCTGTTCCCCTGGTAAAACTGACAGAAAATTAGGAGAAAAAATTAAGAGCCCTGGCTGTATAGCTCAGTTGGTTAGAGTGTCATCAGATACACCAAGATTGAGGGTTCGTTCCCTGGTCAGGGCATATCTGAGAATCAACCCATGATCACTTCTCAGTCTTTTGGCTAAGATCAAGTGAAGGATCAACCAATGAATGCATAAATAAGTGGAACAACAAATCAATCTTTCTCTCTCTCAAATCAATAAAACAAAATGAAAAACAAGGGAGTGTCAAGGCAATTCAATGGGGAAAGTATTGTCTTTTCAACAAATAGTACTGGGGCAACTGGATATTCACATACAAAAAGATAAACTTGGATATGGACATATATGTAATACCTTAATCAATAAAGAAAAAAAACATAAACTTGGGCCCTTCCCTCACACATACAAAAAATAACTCAAGATAGATCAGCAAACTAAACGTGAAAGCTAAAACTATAGAAGTTTGCGGAAGGGATAGGGGGAACAGGAGAAAATCTTAAA